TTGTGGCACTGAATAACAATTGATTTGCAATTTATAGGAAATACCTGCATTTTTTAAGTGTTTGTGAGACAGCACAGAAATGTTTATACACTAGCTGGGCATGGTGGCACACACCTGGAATTCCACTGACTCTGGAGGCTGAGACAGGAGGATCAAAAAGTTTGAGACCAGACTGGGCAGTTTARCAAGGCCCTATCTCAAAATAAAATAAAAAAGGTCTAGGATATAGATCAGTGGTAGAGCACCTCTAGGTTCAATTCTAGTGCCACCACTAACAAAAAGAAAGTCTTTATATGGCAATATAATTTCATAATTATTTTAAAAATATGGACACATTCCCTAATTTATTTAAAAAGCTTTTACAATTCTTTTGCACAGAGGGTCTGTTGAACTAAAGATATTAACGTGAGTTAATCCGTCATTCCCTTAACAATACCCTTTAATAATGGTTATATAAAAAAGTATAAACTGTTCCCCAATATATCTCTCTTCATATTCACTTGTTGATTTTTTTTCTGAAATCCAACTGTTTTGTTTTCTTTTGCTGAGAAACTACCCCAAAACTTAGTTCAAAGCAATAATAATTTTATTATTGTTCATGATTCTTCTCTGTAGGCAGTACTTGCAGGGATCAGCTTGCCTCTTATTCCATGTGCCATCAAAGGCTGGGGGCTGCTGGAATGGGCCATAAGTCTGGGGTCTCTGTTCTAAAGGTCTGCTGGATTCCTCAATTGTCCTTCCTGTGATCTCTTTACGCAGTTAGTTTGGGTTTCTTCATACCATGGTGATCTCAGTTTAGCTTGATTTCCCACAGCACAAAACTGTTAGTTGCCAGACACTTTCAAAGATTAGGTCTCATACTGGCATAAAGCCATTTATGCTGCATTCTGCTGGTTAAAGGAGGTCATAGGGCCTCTGTCCAGATTTAGCGTGGGAGGGAACTCCACCCGGGTGTGAATATCAAGACATGATCCACTGGGGGCCATCTTTGGAGATAGCTCCCACATCAGCATTTATGAAAGAAATTCCATAAACATTAAACCAAGTTTATTTCCTATCAAATAACCAAAAGCAAACGAACGCTCAACTTAATTGTCTTTTATTATGTGGAAGTATACATCTAAATCTTTCTAATTTTTCTATGATCTCTCCCAAATATGTCACATTCTTTCAGCACTGTAGTGTCTTCATTAGGTTCCAGCATGAGTCTTATCTAAACTACACATTCCAGGTTTCTGAATTCAAAAGTCCAGAAAAACTAAAATATAAGTAATTTAATCTATATATTTGCATAGAGTTGCCAACTTGGTAAAATATTTTTTCAGTACTAGGSATTCAATTTAGGCCCTTGCACATGCTGGACAAGGGCTCTACCAATAAGTTATATCCCCAGCCCATCTCTGCAATTTTAAACCTGGCAACTATTAAAAAAAAAAGTACCAAGGTTTGAGGAGGTAGAGTGGTAGACTGCATGCTTAGCATGTATGAGGCCCCAGGTTCAATCCCTGGTATACATACACATAGAGAGAAACAGAAAGAAAAAAATGTACCATCTATTACTCATGCTCCTTAAAGAAAAATTATGTGTATTTCAAAAAAAGTAAAGAGAACTTCAGACTAAAGAACAGTCTCAAATTATAGCTGTTATAATTTATTGTCTTTTTTTGGGGGGGGGTTGTCAAACAATCTTATGGACAGTGCAAAATATAGAACATTTCATGACTTTGCCTTTCATCTTACCATCATAGCCATGATAATCTTTTCTGATCATTTCAGTTTTAGTTGTATAATGCTACTAAAGCAAGCATTAAGTGCCTTTATTCTTATTTGGCTGCAAGTTACGAAAATTCCACTAAGGTCTGCCCTTGGTTCTTGGACCCAGTGTTTAAATCTCTAGTCAATCCAGCGTTACTGAACATTGTCAAGGCCTTTTGTGTGTTGCATGTGTTGTGCTGGGGGTTGAACTAGGGGTACTCTACTAATGAACCCCATCTCCTGTTCTTTCCTTCCTTCCTTCCTTCCTTCCTTCCTTCCTTCCTTCCTTCCTTCCTTCCTTCCTTCCTTCCTTCCTTCCTTCTTTCTTTCTTTCTTTCTTTCTTTCTTTCTTTCTTTCTTTCTTTCTTTCTTTCTTTCTTTTTCACTGTAAGGCAATCTTGTTAAGTTATCCAGGCTGGTCTCAAACTTACAATCCTCCTGTAAGTAGCTGAGTAGCTGGGATTACAGACATACACCATTATGCCTGTCTGTCAAGACCTCTTTACTCAGAACCTGCTAAAAACATTTTACATTTTTTCTAGGGACTATAATCATATTGACCACATTGCAAATTCTGGAATTCCCCCTGTTACAAGGAATCATTTAAACTGTGTTAATACAAAATAATACAAGTACATGTTCCTGTATTAGAGCAGGATAGTGTTAACATCAGTAGTTTTGAGCAGGGATCCTGTAGTTGGATTCTCTGTTCCAGGCTCTCTGTACCCCAATTTTCCCATCTGTGGCAAAGGTCCAATCATATTAGAGCTTTTTTGAAGTTTTAATGAGATACTATGTATGAAGTATATGGATAGTATCTAGACATGGTAAACATTCAGTACTATAATACTACATTTACTGAATTAGCATAATACCATATATTATTACTCTTGCCTCATAAGGAAAAGTTATGTTTAATACTATATTCTTTTTGGCATGTATGTGGTGCTGGAGATTGAACCTAGGGCCTCACACATGCTAAGCAAGCACTCTACTACTGACCTACATTCCCAGCTTACAATGTTAGATTCTTATATAGTAATAATATAATACCATCTACTATTACTCTTGCTCCTTAAAGGAAAATTATGTTTAATACTTTATTCTAAAAATGTTTGTATACTGAAAGCAATGAAGAATATTTGTACATGGCATCAGTATTTTGCAACTGTACTTTAGGAGTTTTAACATACTTTAAGGGTGATCTCAAATATCTACAATACTTTTGAGGAGATTAGTCACAATTAAACAATAGAATTTTTTTAAATGGAAAGGAATTTAATGACAGATGATACCATCCTATTATGGGGGAGACTTTTTATTTTTATTTAAAACTAAATTTAGCCAAGTGTGGTGGTGTGTGTCCATAGTACAGTTACTGGGGGGGCTGAGAAGAGAGGATGGCTTGAGCCCAGCAAGTGAAGAGCAGCCTAGTAACAGGAAGACTCTAGCTCTAAACACAAAAACAAACAAAAAACCCAAACTTGATACAGAGTTCATCTAATAGTAAAAAACAAGGGGAAGTGTATTACAAACATCACAATAGCCTCATAGGTTAATGTAGGCTTCACATACATTTCTAGTAGCTTTGCCATCTGCTTACCTTTATAAGTGCCACTTATGTACTGTTTTAGCTACCTGCACTTTTTCATGTGTGACCAAATGGAAAGCAACAGAATGTTCACTTTGAGAAACAACAAAATTCCTATGAATACCTAAAAATGGTAATAAAATAAAGGACAAGCAGGGTTTAGGAAATTTATTTTAGGGTAAATGCCAGATTTATTTTAAGCCCTTTGCTTAAAAATAAATCTAATTCACATGACTGACTTAAAATACTAGGGCCAAGAAAAGTCACTGTGAAAGCATTTTAATGAAATACCTGAAACTTGTCTCTAGTTTTCTTCTTTTCTATGATTTTTCTGAAGACTTGCTTCTTGATTTATGCAAGAAGCCCTTATATCTAAATATTTCTCATATCTAATAAAATTATGATAGAAATAAACATGTTTCAAACACTGTTATTTTCCTAACCATCATGAGGTCAGTGGACTATTCAGATGCTGTGCAATGCTTTTAATATAAGAAAACATTTGGTTCATCTGTAGCATTTTCCGGGGTAGGGTAAAACTTCCAAGTTTTCTATTTCTAGCAGTCTTTAATTTCACCTATGAGCAAAAACAAAGATTGATTAGAAACAAATGAAGGTTGGTTTCCTTCTGACAGCAGGAAAGAATACTGTCAGCAGGTTGAGTAACCAGTCTTTCACCGTCGCACACCACAGTCAATGAAGCAACTCAACAAGGAGGAAATGCCCATTATTTTCAGGTGCCACATTAGCTCTGATAAAATCACCATTCTAAATTTCGCTAAATGTTTTGAAGTTACAACAGCAGCATTACACACCCAGGAGAGCACTACAGTGGGGTTATCGACGTGACAGAACTAATGTGAACGATTCAAGAATGATCGCCCCCCCCCAACCCCCGGGATTATTTCCCCTTTCTATTTAAATTTAATTGAACTTGACTTCTATTGAGTCCATCTTTTGGAGTCAAAGCCTAAAGGCTCCAGAAACACAACGCTCGCTCGCCTTGGGATGCTCCGAGTGCTTCGTAATTGTCCCAATGCATCGTTCACAGACTGAAGTCGGCGGGGCTCACRGGGGACAGACGATGGAGTCACCAGTGACAACCTAACTCCACTGGTGCTCAAATAAGATGCTGGTACCTACCGACGAAAAGGCATGCTGCCCTCTCCACAGAACCTTACCGCCACGATAAGGATAAGAAGGGTAACCAGCACCCTTTCTTTCCAGTCTGAGTTCTACGACCCGCTGCAGCACACAGGAAGCCGAGCTGGGGCAGCTGCCAGGTCGGCGAACTGGAGCAGCGAAAGGTCCTCGGCCCGGACCTCCTCAGCTGCTCCGTAGCCTTCCGTGGCTCCCTAGGGCCGGCCCGGGCGCGGCAGCGGCCGGCTCCTCCCCGCCGCCAGCGGTCCCCGCCAGCCTGCCCGATGAAGCCCGGGGCGCACCCCGCCTCCCGCCCCGCCTAGCCCGGCGAGACCCGGCCCGGCCCCGCCTTGAGAGGCGCCAGCGTGCGCGCGCGCGCGCGCGCGCGCGGAGCCGGCTGGTTCCCCTTCCGAACGTCCGCGCCCCGCATGCGCAGTCTGCGTCGGCGGTCTCCGTTTGTTTGAACAGGAAGGCGGACATATTAGTCCCTCTCGGCCCCCCTCGCCCCACCCCCCAGGCATTCGCCGCCGCGACTCGCCCTTTTCCCAGCCGGGACCGCAGCCCCTCCCAGAAGCTCCCCCATCAGCAGCCGCCGGGACCCAACTCTCGTCTTCTTCACCGCGGGTTCTTCAGCTTGTCCTCTCCTAAGTCTCCACCGGGCACGGACCTCGCCCTGACCCGCCGGACACCGCGGCAGCAACCCTAGCAGCGACCGGACAAAATGAGAGAGTGAGCCTGTCTCACGGGGACCCGTTTTTGGTCGAAACGGATCGGAGTGTCGGGCCGGGCTGAGTAGAGCCGGGGATGCGGGGCTAGACCGCCTACAGCGCCTCAGAGCGGAGCGGGCCCGGCCCGTGGCCCGAGCGGCGGCTGCAGCTGGCACAGCTCCTCGCCCGCCCTTTGCTTTCGCCTTTCCTCTTCTCCCTCCCCGGCTGCCCCGAGGGAGTCTCCACCCTGCTGCTCTCGCTCTCCCTCCTCCTGCCCATCCCGGGACGGGGGCTCTTCCATGGCGAAGGCAGCCAGGGCCCGCTAGGCTGAAGCGCCTGGCCGGAGCGACGAGGCTGCTGGCCACGGCGCTGTCGGCTGTCGTGAGGGGCTGCCGGGTGGGATGCGACTTTGGGCGTCCGGGCGGCTGTGGGTCGCTGTCGCCCCCAGCCCGGGGTGTGGAGAACCGAGGTCCCCTCAGTGAGGGGGAGGAGGGGGAACCGGGCACACCTGGTGACCCTGAGGTTCCGGCTCCTTCTCCCCGCGGCTGCGAACCCACGGCGGAGGAAGTTGGTTGAAATTGCTTTCCGCTGCTAGTGCTGGTACGAGGGTATTGTCACAGGAGCAGCAACATGTCGACTGGGGACAGTTTTGAGACTCGGTTTGAAAAAATCGACAACCTGCTACGGGATCCCAAGTCGGAAGTGAATTCGGATTGTTTGTTGGTGAGTGGCGCCTTTCGTTCCCTTTTGCTTGCCTGGGGTCCCGCTTGTTTTGCCTCACTCTTGTTTTCATTCTGGTTAACTGCCAGAGTCTCAGGTATGCATAATCATCGTGGAAAACGCCAGATTTTCTGTTTTCCAAAGAATTTTTGGAGTACCACTAAAACCACATGGTGTGGCCCTTTTTACTCTGCGACTGGCTCTTTGCTCAGCGCTCTCTGAACTTTTAGTTCTGGCCCAGTTCTTCACAAAGGACACTTTAGTTCCTGCTGCTGCAAGCCTTATATCACGTTATCACGTCACTTACTGCCACTACGTATATAGTTTTTTGAATGGCGATCTTAGTATTAATCTTCCCGATCGGTTTGACAGTCATGTTGGAAAGACTCCTGTTCCATTCAGAGATTTAGATGTGCTAGGGATTTAGTGTGTAGACTTGGAAGTGACAATCAAGAATGGATATGAGGAAGTGATTTTTGAGTTGAAATGTCATAGGCGTCTTGAGTCTGCAGGAAGTTTTCAGTGTTAGCGTCTTTTACAACATTGTTGATTGGAAAAATACCTTACAAATGTTATAACTGCTTTTTTTTTTCTTGATGGTGTTGTATGTAACACTGTCAACTTTTAAAACATTCTAAAAAACTTCTTATGAGAAGCCGAAATCCTATATTAGCATATACAATTACCTGTAAATAATGGAAGTTTCATTCCCAATAGTTGTAAACTCTTTTGTGAATTTTTTACTTTTTTAAATAGTTTTTTAAATAAAAATTACATTATAGTATTATAKTATATGTAATATGATGTTAGACCAAACAAAACATAATGATTTCAAAACTAAAATTTCAGGGAGYGTGTATATGAAAATAATCTTAGTGTCTTCAGAGAACTAATGTTAGATAGGCACAGTTTGGAGATTAAGGGAATAGAATAATGCCATTCAGAGAAATATCATTTAAAAATCTCATTTTGAATAAGAGGAAAATTTTGTAGATTGTTTAAAATTAACATAATTTCAGTTGCACTGAATACTTGTGTGTGGTTTCAGTCTGTAAGTTTTCTCCTCAAAGCTTTCAAAATTACTCTAAGCATCCTTGACTATGAAATAAGAGTATTGTGGGTAATGTGTTTGTAATGTTTCGCCCACATTATGGAAGTTCTTCAGATTGAGAAATAGTAGAGAAGATTATTGCTTAATAAAGTTAAAACATTTTATTGAATGAGAGGAATGCAAGGAATTAGAACACATCTTTAATGTGTTCTATATCTAATTGGTCTTTTAATATTTATCAAATTTCTCTGTATCTTAGATTTTGGTTTGCTTTTTTGCTGTGCTGGGGATCACATGGTAGGCAAGGACTCTACCAGTGAGCTACATCCCTAGCCTTGTTTTGCTTTTTGATCTCCTTATTCTATGAAGTGGGTTACAAGAAGGAATTTGTGGCTTTTTGTTTTGTTTTGTTTTTCCCTCATTAATTGTCTTCTATTCTCTTGTTAAGACTTCATTTGGTAGAAACCTCAGAGGTATTTTGAGATGTGAAAGATACAAGGAAATAAAAGTCAAGTGCTTTCTTTGAGAGTCCAATCTGTTTAGGAAAACAAGAATTAATTCCACACATATACACAGAAACAAAGCAAAAGGCTTCACAGTTAAGTAAATATGTGATCAGGGTTTGGGGCTATAGCTCAATTGGGGCTATAGCTCAATTGGTGGAGTGCTTGCCTCACATGCACAAGGCCATGGATTCAATCCCCGGCACCACACACACACACACAAAAGTGATCAATTGCAAGTGATTGTTTAGAATATCTATTTATCCATTCTTAGTAATTGAAGGGAAGAAATTACTGTGAGGTGAGAGAGCCAAAGTATGCTTATGATGGATGATAGGTTAGAGGGTCTTCAGTGAGGTGTAGGATAATATAAATACAGAGTGGAGACGACTGGTTTTGACATRTTTAGGGAAACAGAAGATAAAATTGGAAGGCCAGATTGGGGTTAGATTATAGATTTGAGTGCTCAGAGGATAAATGAAGAGATGAATCTGGCAGTTGTGTGTAAGGTGAGCTAATGTAAAAAAGACTAAAGATAAGGTGAGATTGGGGGGATTTTACATTACCACAATCCAGAAATGATTGAAGCCCCAAACTGGGGCATGACAATGAGGAAGGAAGACTTGATGGAACCTTGATTGGTAGAGTTGAGAAGAAGGGGTAACCAAAGGAGAGCCGGTAGTCAGATGACTCTAAAAATGTTGAGCCTGGATTATAGGGAGAATGGTGAAAATCGCAAAGTCAGGTTTGGAAATTGTTTAGAAATAATAGGCCTACAGATAAATTCAGTTTTAGAATTTGTTGTGTTTGAGGGTTTAGTGGGACAACCATGAAGAAAGAACCTGTAGACTATTGGAGATATGGCATTGAGCTCATAATTAAAAGAGTGATTTGGAAGTCATTTGCAGAGAGGTACAAATTAAAATGAACTCAAGTGATAAAAGGAGAAACCTTAGAAACAAGGTTGGAAGATGAAGGTTGAAAACAGGAGGATCAAGGAATCAAGTGCAGTATTCTAGTTCTAGTTTTCTTATGTGTGTAATATCAAATCAATCAGGCAGAGTTCGAACAGCTAGGTATTATGGAACCCAAGACTTCTAAAGAACATTTTGAAAAAGAGAACAGTTAATGGACAGATTTGATTACATTTGATTACTCCCCCCTCCTCATCATCTTGGCCCTTCTGTTTGGTTTCACAACTATTTATTGAAAGATGCAATTGAAATTTTATTACCATATCACTCTAGCATAAATTTTCCTTGCATAGTATTTAAAAAATATTTTTAGTTGTGGATGGATATAATACCTTTATTTTGTTTGTTTAGTTTTTTTTTAAATGTGGTGCTGGGGTCAAACCCAGTGCCTCACAAGTGCTAGGCAAGTGCTTTACCACTGGGCCACAAGCCCCAGTCCCCAGTCAGAATGGCTTATTAGGTCACTTGTTTTCAGTGTCTGTTTTTACTCTTTCTCATCTGAACTTGGAGGGACCATCCCCCTTTCACACGGGCTCCTTTTCTCTCTCTATTATTTTTACCTTTGTTGATTTATTTAACTGATATTTATTATGTATTATGTGCCATGTGCAGTACTCTAGTTCTAGATTTTTTATGTGTGTAATCTCAAAATATAGAGTTGTCTTTATTTCTTATTCTTCATTTCTTTTACTAGATCCTTTCTTCAGTAATGGAGGTTCCCAAATCTTCTGACTTCAGAACAGTTTGCTGGCWGATGTCTTGTTTAAACCTAATTTTGCCCACAAAACAGCTTTTCCTTTTGGAATAGTAATGAATATTAGTGGTTATAAAATAATGTAGCAGGAAGAACCCTGATAAGTGGCTGTTCAGTTTTTTCTCGAAGAGCATGACCTTTCTTTTCATTTTCTTCTTAAGTGGTAGAGGTGGATTAGTGGACTTGTGAAAAAAAGGGAAAAGAACCAGAATTATGCTGTGCTGTCCTTTTGTGCATATTTGTTACTACAGTTCTCATTAATCAGTTTTTCATAATGTGAATGACAGTGTAAGTGAAGGTTTGGACACTAGTCTTTGTTTTTCTTTAAATTCTCTTTTCCTGGACTTCCTTGACCTAGTGCTTTCCCATCTTTTTATTGTTGACTTATTTTTCTCTTTGCCTCAGTTTTTGTCCTCTAATACTTACCTTTCTCTTCACTGTCTTGGAGAATTCATCCATTCTTACAGCTTCAACTACCTGCTAATGTCCATGATGCCCGGAACTTTACTTTTTTATTTTATTCCAAATGCTAAATATATGTCTGCTTTCTAGGCATGTCTACTTGTATGTCGTGTCATCGCTCAAATCCTTCATTTTCCAGAACAATCCTTTCGGTATGAATTTACCTGTTTTGTCAACATCACTACTATTACTATTGCTAAACTGGAATTTTTTTTTTGTAAAGTTTTTTGACAGTCCTATTTCATACACTGAATTATTACAGTGGATATTCAGAAGCATTTCAGATCCTAGATAATTGCTTATAATCTCTCTGTATGCCCTGCCAGTTGAATTGATCACATTTGGGATTATGTTATGGTTGGTGAAATGAAAAAAACCTGTTAAATGCTTGACCCTTAAACCATATGCCTTCCAGTGCTTATGATTTGTTAATGGGTGATACCATTAGGAAGGTTGCACATCTGGTTGATTTGGATCAGACCATTTTTTGTTTATTTTTAAAGAGATAGGTACTTCCTATGATGCCTAGGCTGGACCAAATTCCTGGGCTCAAGCAATCTTCTTGCCTTAGTGTCCCAGGTAGCTGGGGCTACAGGCACATGCTTGCCCAGTTTAGAATAGGCTATTTTGATGTTAGTGTGTTGCAAGAACATTAAAAAACAAAAACAAGACCAAAGCCAAACTAGTCTTCTAATTCATTTATTTATTCAGTAAATCTTTGTGTAGGGTGTAGGATCTAAACTTGGATTCAAATCTAGGCTTTGTAATGTACTTGCTGGAAGATTTTAGGTGAGTTATTTTGTTTCATAGTTGGGAAAATGGAAGGGGGGTTATAGTATTAGTTTTAAGAATTAAATAATACAGGCAAACAGTTAATGGCATGTGGCATTTAGTGATCATTTGATAATTGATAACCATCGTTATTATATTTTTAGTGTTATTGATACATGCTAGTCACTGTGCATAGCATAGGCTTGCTATGTCTTCTGTAAGTGCAGAGTAATTTACCTGACACCTCAAGCCATGCTTATAAGTTCCTAATTCAGCTGTGCTTTATTGAAGCAGCCAATCTAATTATAATTGAAAATGCTGCTGTTTAGATCGGTTCAATAGAGCTGGGAGGGGCTTTTGGAGACCTACTTTGTGCTGAGTTTCAATCGATATGAAAGATAGTTGGGATCTAATTTGTTGACATTGGTTGTTATCTTGTTCTCTTTCTATGTATCTTACACTTTGAGTATGTATTCTGTAAATAGGCC